TACGGCCTTAGCGTGACAGCGGAAGGCGTCGAACCCGCGCCCCGGGCCGAAGGCGTGCGCCGCGAGCGTCTCGCGCCGGCGTCCGCACCGCCGGAGGCCGCCGCCGCCGCGCCCCGGCGACGCCCGGCCGCGCGCGATGGCCCGGTCGAAGCGCAAGCAGCCGAGCCGCGCGACGAAGAAGAAGCCGAGCGTCGTCGTCGCCGACGTCGCCGACGACGACGACGACGACGACGGCGACGACGACCTCGACGAGGAGTTCGTGCCCAAGCGGCGCCGGAAGGCCGCGGGCCTGCCCCGCCCCGCTGCGGCGACGAAGCGGAAGAAGAAGGCCGCGGCCCCCGCCAAGGCGGGCACCTACAAGGAGCGCGCGATCGCGCGCGTCCGCGAGCTCGTGCCGCCGACGCCCGTCGCGGGCCTGCCGCCGCGGTCCGAGGGGTCGCGCGAGCGCGGCGGCGCCGCGGAGCCCGCGGCGAAGAAGGCCGCCAAGGACGACGAGCGGAACCGCCTCGAGGCGGCGGGCCTCGTCGGCATCGCCACGTCGGTGCTGCCCGCGGCCTTCGGGTCCGTCGCCTACGACGTCGTCGACGTCGTCGCCGCCGCCGCGGCCGACGGCGGCGGCGGCTTTGGGTTCGCGGTGAAAAACATCGGCGAGCGCGCCGTCGTCCGGGGCTTCCGCTCGCGGGCGTCGACGAGCGGCCTGCGCTGCAACGACGTCGTCGTCGCCGTGGGCAACCTCGACGCGCGCGCGGGGGGCTTCGCCGCGGTCGTCGCGAAGCTCGTCGCGGCCAAGGAGTCGGGCTCGGTCGCGCTCCGCGTCGCGCGGCCGCGGCTCCCGCCGGCGCTGCTCTTCGAGCCCCACTACGTCGAGGCGGACCCGGAGCCGGCCGCGGCGCCCGCGCCCGCGGCGCCCGCGGCGGCGGCGGCCGAGGCGGCGGCGGCGGCGGGAAGGGCAAGGGCGGCCCGCGCAAGCGCACGCGGAGCCGCGGCGGCCGGGGCCGCGGCGGCGGCGGCAAGGGCGGCGACGCGAACGCGCCCCCGCCGGCGCCCGGCATGGACGGCAGCGGGCGGCCGCCCAAGGTCCAGGCCGTCGCCCCGCCCGGCGCCGGCCCGCTGCCCGTGCCCCACAAGGGCGCGCGGACGAGCAGCACGACGCGCGCGCACATGACGGCCGCGCGCTTCGACGGCTACCGCGGTGTTGTGTCCGACGGCACGCTCAAGGCCATCGCCGAGGTGCTGGGCTACGAGACCATGACCAAGGTCCAGGAGCAGGCGCTGCCCGTGTGCACGCGGGGCCGCGACGTCGTCGCAAAAGCGAAAACGGGCACGGGCAAGACGCTCGCGTTCATGATTCCTTGCGTGGACCGCGCGGCCGCGTCCAAAGCGAAGCGCGGCGGGTCGAAGATCTCCGCGCTCGTGCTGTCGCCGACGCGCGAGCTCGCGCAGCAGACGCTGGAGGAGGGGCGCCTCCTGTCCCACTTCCACGGCCTGACGCTCGCGTGCGTCGTCGGGGGCACGCCGATCAAGAAGGACTACCGCGCGCTGGGCTGCGCGCCCGGGTCCCGCGCGCCGGATATTCTGGTCGCGACGCCGGGCCGCCTCAACGACCACCTCGAGAACAGCGCGGGCTTCGCGCGCGACACCCTGGGCGGCCTCGAGTGCCTCGTCTTCGACGAGGCGGACCAGCTCCTCGACATGGGCTTCCGCCCGGCCATCGAGCAGATGCTCCGGGCCATCCAGGCGACGCGCCTCACGCGCCAGACGCTGCTCTTCTCGGCGACGCTGCCCGCAGACGTCAAGGGCATCGCGAAGCTCTCGATGAAGGACGGGTCCGACTACGACTTCGTCGACACCGTCGGCGACGCGGACGAGCAGACCCACAGCCACGTGCCCCAGTGCTGCGTCGTCTGCGAGGGCAAGAAGCTCCACTCCGCCGAGCTCGTCGCGCGCCTCGCGGACGCGTGCAGCGCGCCGGACCACAAGGTCATCGTCTTCTTCACGACCGCGCGCCTCACGCAGCTCTACAGCGAGCTCCTCGTGGGCCTCCAGGGCGCCCAGGCCCGGGGCCAGGCGCCGGACCTCGCCTTCCTCGCGAAGACGCGCATCCTCGAGATCCACTCGCGCAAGTCGCAGTCCCACCGCACCAAGGTCGCGGACGCGTTCCGCGACGCCACCGGCGGCTGCTGCCTCTTCACGTCCGACGTGTCCGCGCGCGGCATGGACTACCCGGACGTGACGCGCGTCGTCCAGTTCGGCGCGCCGGCGGACGCCGCCCAGTACGTGCACCGCCTCGGCCGCACCGCGCGCGCGGGCAAGGAGGGATCGGGGTGCCTGTTGCTCTCGGACTTCGAGGCCTACTTCCTCGAGGACAAGGCCATCAAGGCGCTCCCCATCGCCATGCAGCGGCCCCTCGTCGCCGGCGACGCCACGGGCGCCGTGCTCGGCCGCGTCGACGCCGCGCTCATGGGCGCCGCGCGCGCGCTGCCGCCGGAGACGTGCGGCGCCGCCTACCAGGCGTGGCTGGGCTTCTACAACTCGTCGCTCCGCCGGCTCCGCTGGGACCTGTGCCGAAATCAAAT